CTGTGACACCATGCAGGGATCACCGCTGCTTTGCACACACCGGGACAACTCAGTGTCAGGAATTCCTGGCGAGATGGGAAACGTGCAATCATCACCTGCTCTGTGCACACGGGGAGAGCTCCGTGTCAGGAATTCCTGATGGGATGAGAAAGGTGCAGGGATCACCTGCTCTGCGCACACGGGGAGAACTCAGCGTCAGGAATTCCTGATGGGATGGGAAAGGGGAAATTATCACCGGCTCTGTGCACACGGGGAGAACTCAGCGTCAGGAATTCCTGATGGGATGGGAAAGGGTACAGGCATAACTACTGCTCTGTGCACACGGGGAGAGCTCAGCATCAGGAATTCCTGATGGGATGGGAAAGGTGGAGCTGTGACACCGTGCAGGCATCACCTGATTGTGCACACGGGGAGAGCTCAGTGACAGGAATTCCCGACGGGTTGAGAAAGGTGCAGGCGTCGCCCATCACCCCTGCTCTGTCCACACGGGGAGAACTTGATGTCAGGAATTCCTGACAAGATGAGAAAGGTGCAGGGATCACCTGCTCTGCGCACACGGGGAGAGCTCGGTGTCAGGAATTCCTGATGGAATGGGAAAGGTGCAATCATCACCTGCTCTGTGCTCTCGGGGAGAACTTGGTTTCGGGAATTGATGGAATTGGAAAGGTGGAGCTGCGCCACAGCCCGTGCATGGTCACATCCCGGGAGGAATGGAAGGAACCTTCATCCCCACAGGAAGAGATCTCCCATGTGGGCCCCCGTCTGCACCCTAAATCTCATTTATTCAGGCAAAACTCCCACTGTTTGCAGAGAGGAGCTTTGCCAGAGTAAACACAGCAGATCTGGGTCTTTGCCCTGTTTTGTTTCGCCGTGGGTGGATTGATTGCTCCAAGGGGAAACCCACGCTGGAGCCACGCATCCCGCCCTTCTCCGCATTTCCCGATGCACAGACACAAACCTCTGACCCTTTTCATGGCTTGGGGGGCTCGGAGGGATCCTCTCCTCTCACCCTGTCACCAGGTGGGAGCAGTTCAGGAGGCTGTTGGGGTGTCTGGGCTSTGTTTCGGGTTGTGCCGTTGCTTTGGCAGAATCCCTGGACRCATCCCCACGGAGCATTTTGGGCGCTCCTGAGGTTGTGCTGCATTTGGAAAGTGCTGCCCAACCCTCCTTTTYCTGCTGCTTGCTTTTATCCTGGTCRGGAGCACTAAAATCCCTCCTGGTTTTAGGGCTGATTTACCACAGGAGCAATCCCCCAGGAGCTGGGTTTGCTCTGTGCTGCCGATAATTTGGGGTGAAACTGGAACGATTTGGGAACGTGCCCTGCCCTGGATCCCTGATTTTTGCTGTAAACARAGGGTTAAATGCAGGGTGAGATGAGTTCAGATGGCTCCACAGCACTTGGCAATTCAAACAGCCTTCCCTTGGGTTATTTCTGCTGTCACAGAGCGTTCCTCTCTTTAATTAGGATTTTTTAAGTACAGTAACTGTAGARTATTTTACAGTGTGTGAAAAAAACTGTAACAGAATAATATAATGGTGTTAGAGACTATGATTTGATCATTAAATATTACACAGACATTGCCCTGGGTCRTCTTTCCTTTAAATACAAAACCATTTGAGTCGTTCCATTATCTTGTGTTTATTTTTCTGTGTCCTGTACATCTGGCATAAAATAACACAGATTTTATTTTCCAAGCGTGTCCAAGGGAATTCTGCCCATACACACATTTTTATTGCAAAAGGAGCGGAAGAACCTTAAAATCCAGTAACAATTGTCAGCCCTGGGCAATTCAAAACAATGAATTGTCTCCGTTCTCTCTTCTACGTCTGTTCTCGTCCCACAAATAAAAAGATTAACAGAKTAGGTATTTTTTCCCATAGTGTTCTCAAGTTTTAGAGTGTGAATGCCAAGGTTTTCTGCGTGATGAGGAGGTCTAGATCTTCACACACACACTGGCAATTACTTTTTGAAGTGAAGGCTGCTTTTCTTAATCCCAAATGTCAGCTGGAGTTAGGAGAAAAATTTATTTGGTGAGTCTTAGTTCATGCAAAGTGCCAATGCTCCATCTGGGCGTTTCGGTGGAAGCCGATTGGATTCTGCTCCTGACTTTAATAGGAGAAGAATCAGGACTGTTTGTTATGGCTGTTTCTTAAAAGGGAAACTTACTGCTTATTGAAAAAGCGGATATGAAAAGCACAAACTTGTCCTTTTCTTGCCAAGAAACCGTACAGATTATGTCACTGCATTTATTTAAATCTGGTTTCCATTATGTCGTTTTCCTGGCTGCAAACCCAGGGAAAAGCTCAAATCCATCTAAAAATATATAATTTAGGGCTATATATKATCTTATTCGTATATTATTGGTACACAGTTGTCAATCATTGATTTGAGGGAGCCCTTCAAAACAGTTGATTCATTTTGCAAGGCTTCTATTTTTGATGAAGTTATGCAATCATTAATTTTTTATGGATTCTTCCTACTTGCACACCTGGAGGCAGGAGTTTCAACCCTTCCTGCACATCTGCAAATGCCACAGGTATTTTCCTGCTCCCAGGTTCCTGACAGACAGACACACAGACAGACACACAGACACAGTCCGAGCTTGTTAATAGGACAACTGGTAAGCCCTTACAGTTTAACACACTCCAGTATAAAGGAGTAGTTTTTTGGATGCGCTTGATTCCATCACAGAAAGCAGCCGATAACAGGATCGAAAATCTGTTTGCAAATGTATGGAACRAGAAATGCGCATCAAATAGGAATTTTAAAAATTGTTGGAAATAGAACATCTTTGCTGTTTAAGGGGCTAAGCCTCATTTCATGTGCAGAACGGCCAGATATGCGGGGTTATTTTTATTTTATTCTATGGAACATCACAACTATAAATAGTCAGGGGGCCAGGCCCTGAGGCGGAGGGAGGGGTGTCATGGCGGTCGGCCTACAACTCCCAGCATGCACCGCGCGGCAACCCGGGAGGGCGTTACGCTCGTGCGTTTCGGACTACAACTCCCAGAATGCACTRACAAATGGCAGCGGGCTAATRCAGGGATGTGGTGKACTACAACTCCCAGCAKGCACCGCGCGGCCTGGCAGAGCGCGCTAATGTGTTCGTGGCGATGACTACGACTCCCAGCATGCCTCTCGGCCCCAGTGACGCCCGCACYGTTTTCCCGCGCAGGCGCAAGGCGGCATCGATGCTGTGAGGAGGAGGAGGAGGCGGAGGAGGYGGCGATGGCGCTCAACAAGAACCACTCGGAAGGCGGCGGCGTCATCGTTAACAACAGCGAGAAGTGAGGTGCTATCCCCTTCTCCCTTCCTCCGGCCGCGGGAGCCGGGGGATAGCGGCGAGCTGCCTTCTCCCCCTGCCCTCCTCTTGCCTTCCCCCTCAGGGTTGTGTGGGGAATGGGGGGCGTGCTGAGGGGGTGAGGCGGGTAAAGGGGGTGGTTTAACTCTCTCGGTGCCGGCGTTCCTCATCCTCTCATCTTCTCCATATGGGCTAGGAGCTGTACGTATCCCCCTGCCCCAAGGCCTTCGTGGAGAGAGCTCTGCTGGGTTTCAACCGCGGGCCTTCCCCCCTTACACCGCTTCCCTCAGCAGCCAGCCTGTCCCCCAGCCTGCTGCTGGCTCTTGCTGCTGTCCCATCACCTTCCCCGAGGGCTCAGGGAGGGCTGGTAGAGCTCAGCTCCCGCCCAGGTGATCTGGGTCCAGGCCTCCCCCTCGGGGATGCTGCAGCTCCATCGTGCCTCASATCAAAGGCTGCCCGCTGTGGTTCGCCGGGTTCCTGGAGCACAGCCCCCTTTCTGTGTGTGCGGCAAGGAGCAACAGTGCTGGAAAAAGGTGCTGGGATATAACCATGGAAACGGTAAAGCCTGCACAGAGCTGCCTCTGTCTGCATGGCAAAGGGCTGTCCGCACCCTCTGTCTGCCAGCGTGGTTCTGACGTGGCAGTCATCTGCTTCGGGGACAAAGGAGTGGTTCATCCTTCAGGGCTTCTTTCCACGGGACCACTTAAACATTGGTGTAGGAATTCTGTGTCTGACTGCCACTTGGGATGCGGCCTTTCTTAGAAGGGTTTAGTAAGATCGATTCAGGTGCTTAAATTTGCATTCATTGAGAGAACTGCCGCAGCTGAAGGTGTTGCTGTTCCCACTGTCAGCCTGCTTTGRATCAGGGCCTGCCTGTGCCTGGGTTGATCCGGCTGAATTGCAGCAGCCTGAACAGAGCTGGTCCCACTGCCCTTCCCGAGCTTTTCCTGGAGGGACAGGTATTTAAGAGCAGAAGGGAAARGCAAATAACTGAGGATGGAAACACGTCAGCTGCCAAAGATAGAGCTGGTGGAGGTTTCTGCAGCTTTAGGGATTAGAGTCCCTATTGTGGGTGCTGTAATGTCAGTACAAGTTACCTGCTGTGTCCATGCCAAGGTTTTAATCAGGTCAGTTTCTAACTGAGAGTTAAGGAATCAGTGCAGGCAGCATGAGTTAATGAAGTCTTGKGGCAAGGAAGGGGAATTCCTCTGGATCACATTTTTGTGTCAGAGGTGTTTGAGCTGTGGTGAGACCTTCAACAGCCGTGTTGCATAAGCCAGCCTGAGCAGTTCCTTCTCCTGCAGTCCTTCCTCTGTTGTGGGGGARCTGATCCAGCAGAAATGCAAAACAATTTAAAACAAAACAAAAAAAAAGTCTTGATATCCTGATCGGTTCAGTTGACCGGCTTTGCTGCCTTGTTATGCAGACAGCTGTGTCAGCACACTGAGGAGGGGAGAAGCAGCCAGTGCTCCTTCAGTTGCTGCTGCCAGAAAAAAAAAAAAAAAAAAACAAAAAAACAAACCAACCAGGCAAACCAGAACTGATTTTTGTCTGCTCAGGCGGCTTGAGGATACAGGTGGTTTTAGTAGGTCAGTAAACTTCTGTGCATGGTGCATTTCTGCCTTGAGCTGTAACACTTGTCTCTTTTCTCAGTGTTTTGATGACCTATGACCATGTGGAAATTACCTTCAGTGATCTGGAGCCGATGCCAGATGCCTTCAAAGGGACCAAGAAAGGCAGTGTTTTCCTGACTCCCTACCGGGTAAGTGGTGAAAGGCTTTATGTCGGGTAAGGAGATAACGGCCCWGGAGTCTGTATTTAAATGTCCTCAATGCACAAAAGTCAGGATAATCTACTCCTGCTTGAAGTGTGGCTCATCCTGTCCCTCTGGAAAGCATTATGAATTCGTGGCATTTCACATCTGTTTGTCAGCAGATAATAAATCTGATTAGTTCTTCTACAGGCAGCTGTTTAGTCCATCAGACATCTTCAAATTGGAAATTAGCAAAGGTCTGSAAACACTGAATGCTAAATCACAGCYGTGTGAGCAGCGAGTTCTCTGGAAGCTGGGAGGAGCATTATCTGACAAGGGACTTCCTGGAAAGCTTTATTACCTTGAGGATTTGGTTTACCCCTGGGGCTGTTCTGTGTAGCTTTTGGCTTGCAGAACTGGTGATGTGGGAGGGAGTTTCAGTCCATGGAGAAGTCTGTTCAGATAATAAATCAGGGCTGTGTTTCCTGTTTGTTTTGAGTAGCTCTTGTAATGTTATTTTCTTTTCAGGTTATCTTTGTATCGAAGGGGAAGGATGCTATGCAGTCATTCGTGATGCCCTTTTATTTGTTGAAGGATTGTGAGATTAAGCAGCCAGTGTTTGGAGCAAATTATATCAAGGGCACAGTGAAAGCAGAGGCAGGAGGTAAATATCACATAGTGTATGTTCTGTGTCTCAGTTCAGCTGCTCAATCATAGCAAAAYCCTGGCTAGCCAATACTTGACACTGACCAAGTGGGTTCTCAGTCCTGCTAAAATGTGTTTTTTTCTTTGGCCGCTAAAAATAYTCCCCTTATCAGCTCCCTGTTCAGTTACAATGAGCAGATCTGCTCTGTATCCCATCTCKTGCTTGTCCTCTGCAAAATATTAAGTTTAATGAACCAAGTCATCTCAGCAAATAAACATCAGAATGGGATCAGCAAGAGCAAGGATGACATTTTCCTTTGGTCACTTGGGGTTACCTGCCCCGCCTGCATCCAGATCCATCTGTTTGGGATTCTTCCTGGCTCTGTTTGGATTCAGGTGCAGATCCCCAGAACACTTTCTCAGTCATGTTTCTTGTGCAGTTCAAGGACAGGTGAACTGCTGCTGTAGTGCATCCAGGCAGTGAAAATGGCACTTGGAAGGGAATGGACTGCTTTGAAATCAAGGAATTTTAGGGGCTGTTTCACTTTAAACTCAATGAGAAGGTTGTGGCAGACATTTTCAAGCATAATACTGGTTTTGACGTGTTTTTTTTGGTTTTTTTTTTTGGTTTTTTTTTTTACCAAAGGCACAGAGTTCAGCAAACTTTCATCCTCAGCTTGATTCAGTCTGGTAGTTGTGGCATGGAAATCACAGCACAAGGATTAGGAGCCTTCAGCTGGAATCCTGAAGTCAGATTGTAACTTCTTCATGGGAGCCGAGTGGGACCATCCAGCATGAGAGGGAGCCTGAGCAGTAATGACGAACTAAAATATGTGAAAGGCAAAGGGCTTTAGCTGAATCTGTGTGAATTTTCCCCTGAGGCCATCTCTTTTAATGATGATGTTGTCTTAACAGCCATGAGAGCCTGGTTTAGCTTAAAAGGCTCTTTAATCTACTTGTTTCTGTTTCAGCACAGCTTCTGCTTTGATGCTTTCTTGGRACTCTGGACTGTGCATGTTTTTCTTTTTTATTCTGTAATGTGAGATGTCACTAATTTGTTTGATTTTTCATTATTATTATCCTGACTTGAAGTATCTTCCATGAGCTCTAATKGATTTATGTGGACCATGTTTTTCATTAAGCTCTTTGCTTCATTGGGCACTCAGACTCCCAAACTAATTTGCAGCTGACAGTTAGGTGTAGTTGCAAAGGCTTTTTAGCAAACRGGATTAACCAAATCCCTGTCTTCTGCACTAATCTTATCCAAAGCAAGAGCAAATCCAGCACTTCTGATAGCTCAGCCCGTGGCAGCTGCTGTGGCAGCAACCACAACTCCAGAAAGCTTTTGAAGCTCTCCCTCATGGATGGTTCTGCTTCAAGTGTCTCTTGACCTGACAATACCCCAGTCTCAGTTTTTCTGATGATACCATAATTCTGCCACTTCCTCTGCTTTTTTTTTTTTAACTTGGATTTTTAGGATAAGCTCTTTAAAGAATTATAGACAGAGCATCTGTAGATACAGCATGTAACCTAAATATCATGGAAATGGTTTCTCCTTTCTCCTGAGTGTTGTCTTTCCTCCCTCAGGTGGCTGGGAAGGATCTGCCACGTTCAAGATGACCTTTTCRGCTGGGGGTGCAATTGAATTTGGGCAGCGGATGCTGCAGGTGGCATCACAAGGTATGGAAGACTGGTGTTGTCTGCCAGAGTTTTGTGGGTTTAGGACACTTCCCTGTACCTGAAGCTTGCTTTAAAAAGTATTTTTTTACATCCAGTGAGCAGGAGATTGTTGGGATAAAACTTAATTGTTTTTCTAATAAGGACTCTCTAAGTTTGCTTGAGTTTTTGGCCTGCATCTGATGCAGGCATGATGTTCTGACGAGGTCTTGTCTTTGCTTTTCCAGTCTCCAGAGGTGAAATTCCCAGTGGAGCCTATGGCTATTCCTACATGCCCAATGGATCCTATGCTTTTGCACCACCTGCAGCTAGCGGGGGCTATCCATACCCACCACCTCCTCCAGGTAAACCTGGGAGCTGAGGCAGGGGATTATTCTGCTCAGTAAGAATTAAAATAGGTAAAAAGGGAAAGAAACACAGATTTTACACAGTGTTTTAGTGATGACTTGTGTAGCTTATGTTCYTGAGTTTAATTATGTTTGCCTTGGCTTTTTTTGGTTGATAACTCCACCCAGAGGAGTTAAGTCTGTTGCTGTGTGATTCSCTTTCCTGACAGATTTTTATCCTGGTCCTCCTGTGGCAGATGGAAACATGGGCTACATGCAACTTCCACCCCCACCATACCCAGGGCCCATGGAACCRCCCCCTGTCAGTGGCCCAGACCTGCCCTCCACTCCTGCAGGTAAGGAGTGTGTCCAGGTGAAAGAACTCACAGCAGTTTTATGTTATGAATGAAACAGATRTGGTTTCTTGTATTTTGGGGAACTTTGAAGCTCTACTTAGAAGTTGAAATTCATTTATAAAAGGGATTAGGGAGCTCCCTCAATCTCCAGCTTTCTATATCCAGCTCAGTCTGGAGGCCAGCCTGATTCTCTACAGGGGAGACACCATTAGTGGGCATTTTACAACTGGATTTATTTTTCTTTTGACAGAAAAATTATAATTTGTGATTCTCCTGGGGGGTAATCTTGCCCTAATGGATGAGCAGAAAGAAATKGATGGTGAAATATGTTTGTGGTCCATTTTAATTCACAACTGTGGCTTTGGTGATATTTGCTCCCCCTTCCCCTGTTTCACTCTGATTATTTTTGCTTAGGCAAYATGGGGCAGAGGAAGAGATGATGGAAAAGAGCTGGGGAAATATCGGCCTCATTTTTCACTCCTTAGGGATTTATAAAAATGAAAAAAGCTGTTGTGGTTGGACACAGCCATAGATCTCTTGAAGATAAACATATTATTTGTTTGGATAAGGTTTTAACTCTTCTCTTTRGTTTGAATAAACAACCATTCATCTTTGAACTATTATTTGGAAAGCGGCACTGCTCCAGAGTGTCGTACAAGATTTTTGTGTTCTGCAGAAATCGAGGATCTGGATTACCCTCATAAATTGCCACCTTTAATGCATGAATTCCCTGAGCTGCTATAAACTTGTGCTGATTTTTGTTTTGCCTTGTGTTTCCACTCCCAGGAAGGATGGTTTGTTCACTGCCTGTTTATAAAGGATATTGTCTGTATTTAGGCAAGGCAGCAGCCAGCATTTATTTATGGCTGACAGGCAAGTCCCAGGTGACATTTCCAAACTGAATCTTGGTCTGTTTCACTGGGAGTTGACAATTCTGTGGCAACGGGAAGAGATAATGCTCCATTGTGTTTGTAGCTATTTTGCAACTTGAGCACTGGTCATATGGTGCTCTGTTAGTAACTCTTGATGGCCAGGAATATGTGCAGCTCTTGTTTTATTGCCAGAATTCTCAGTGTGTCCCTAACCTGTCACTTCTGTCCCTGTGACAGCTGAAGCCAAGGCTGCTGAAGCTGCTGCCAGTGCTTACTACAGCCCAGGCAACCCCCACAATGTCTACATGCCCACGGTGAGTCCCTGTGCTGCTCTGGCTTTGCAGGGAGAGCCCAGGTGTGTGTCTGGCAGATCTTCTCTCAGTGGCACAGCATAGTTTGTTAGTGTCTTAGAGTTTTTATGGGGGGTTGAGTTTAATTTTTTTATTCTTAGCCATKCACTGATGTTCTTTTTTCTTTATTTTGCAGGACCAGCCACCTCCTCCTCCATACTTCCCACCAGAGGACAAGAAAAACCAATAAGCTGACACAGAACTTCTCCACAACTCGTTGCTTTCTTTTTTTTCCATTTTGGCAGAATTCTGRGGCACGGTCCATAGCACTGAGGARTAGAGCCTTCCCCCAAGGCACACTGCTTTCAGGGGCTCTAGTTGTAGGTCTGTGCAGAGTAAAGGGAAGGATTTTGGCAGCCTGGGTCACMTCTGGAGCTCTGAGGGTTTGCTGTCCTGCAGCATTCCCTCCTCCCTGTGCGCAGCATTGCTACAGCTGGGGGTTCTCTTCATCCGTGCTTACTTCCCTTAGCTCTGTTTCTTCTGATGCTTAAATTGTACCTCTTTAGAGTCAGCATCTGYTCCAAAATGCTAATTAATATGATCATGACATGGAAACAAGGCTCTTGAGGTGGGAGGTATCTTGGATTTACCTTAGTGTGCACCCAAGAGCACTTCTGGACAGAGGGATGCCTCTGGTTATTCCTTTCAACCCAGAGTRTCACATCCAACGCTTTGCTCCTGAGAAAGATCTTAAATGGAACCTTTGGGATCTCAAAGGAAATACACACTTAGGACATTTTTCAGATATGTATTCAAATTTCTTGGGTTTGTTTTTTTCAGTCAAAATCACTCCTGACAATCGTAACAAATAATCTGGTAGCCCTTCAAATTTCCCTGCTGCGCACTGTGTGACAACGCTGAGCAACTTCCCTTCGTCAGACATTGCTCTTCACAGGGTTCTCCAGTAGCATCTGACCAGTTTAAATCCCATGGGAACACTAATGCTTCTGTTGTCTCTRTTTTCCAGTTAGATATGTGAGTTCACTAAATCCCAAATGCTCTCTTCATAGTCCACAATGCACTTTTGTTTTTCCTTCGTTGTAACGAGTTACACTTTTTGGCCAGTGAAGTATCCTCCTGCTGTGATTTACCTGGTGAATTAACAGCTAATGGGCAGAAAGTAATTGCTTTACTTCTGCCCTGGAAGCACTTGAGAGAATATGCAAAACATTGGAATAAGCTGTAAGGTACAAAGTGTTGTTTATTGCTGTTTGCATTCCTGGTCCAGCTGTGAATTCCCAGCCACCTGAACACGGACTCCTCATAGCGTTGATTCCTTGGTCTCACTAGCAACAATTCCAGTGCAGAACCTCTGCAGGACTGATCAGAATCTGGGCTGTGAAACTTTTGTGTTGTACAAAGCTTTGCACAAGTCACACTTGACTGACTTCTGACAGCTGAGAGAGAAAATCATTCCCAGCAAAGTGTGACAGAAGATCCTGTGCTAGGGAACTGCTGAGACTTGCTGCATGCAGCCTGCTTGGAGAAAAGAAAGGTCCACCTCTTGTTTTCTTTTTGTTTGAATTTAGCTGAATAATGAAATTGCTACTGTTTGTGCACTGACTTTTCTAGAATTGCTACTGCGATGATGTAAAAAATGGTTATTTAAAAAAATATTTATTTTGAAAGCATTTGATTAATATATTAATGTGAAATGACTTTTGAATGCAGATTTGTTTTGCCAAGACTGTGAAGTAAAGAGAAATCAGCTCAAAATTTGGGGTGTGTGTGTGTGAGTGGGCAAACTTCTGGTGGGTTGGTAACTTTGGATGGGGAGAGAAAGAAGCAAAATCCCTTGGATTGGGTTTGTGTCTCTTCCCTGGTGACATCAGTTGCTTGATTTCTCTTTGATGACTTTGTAAAATGAAAATAAGATGTTAAAATGTTTCAGCAAACTCCCATTTCACAATTCCTGTTGGAAGCTGGTGAAGCAGCTGCTTTACTCTATCCAGATGTCACCCAGCTCTTTTTTCCAGACCAATTGTCCTTGTAAAAGTTGCAACCAGTTTTACTGTTTAACTTTGCAAGAAGAAGCTGAGGGATGCAGCATCATTAATACCTCTAAAATATGTTTCTAATTAGAAGCAATCCACAATTTTATCCTTTTTTTCCTGTAAGTGTACTGAGGTGCCAGGGTGTTTCTGCCCACTGAGGTCAGAGCTCTCTCAGGTGTGCTCCACCTGTGCTCCTGTCCCAGTGCCAGAGCTGTTCCTCCCTCTGAGCTGAACCAGGTGTGTCAGTCTCACTTGGAAGGGCAGGAGAGAAGTGTTGCAGGTAGGATCAGGTTCTGGTCAGTCCCCCTGGCTCACACTGGCACCTGTCAAACAGGAGTTACCCAGAAGCTGCTCCCCAGGTATCCAAACCCTGCTTGCCTTCATTCCTCTTCCCAGCAGCTGCTGGCTGCCTTCATTCTCCTGAATTCCCTGACCAGCCARGGTGCACATTTCCACATTCTGCTCATTTTTACATCCTTTTTACCTTTCATCCTCTCATATGGCTGTTAAACTGCATTTTCAGGCTGGCTGAGCCACTTGTGTTTGTTTTCTGTGAAGTAGGTGGGTGAAGGAGGAAAGCTTTGAGATAAAATTTTACAGTCCARTAGGAGCTGAATAAATCCTATTTTGTGAATTAAATTATTTCAAGGTTTCCTCAATCACATCTGTCCAACTGTTAGATGCTGCTGAAACCTTTMTGCTCTGGCTCATTCCCAGTTGCCCTCTACTCCCAGACAGAATCCTAGAAAACACAGATTGCATGAACTTTCCATATCTCTTGCCCAGCCCCACTCCCTGTGCAGCTCTTAGGCCCACAATTACAGCAAATCCATGAGGGCTTTTTAAAAACCTTTCTTCAACCTAAGTSTGCTTGAGAGAGAAATATTTATGTATCTGCTCCCATGGGAACTCTGCTCCATGGTTCAAGCTGAGTCATTTCCCTTAGAGTGGAGAAGTGGCAAGACCTGCACAGACACCATGAGGTTTCTGTCTGGCAAAAGGGAAATACATTCAAAGGATGAGTCAGGCTGGAATAAATGAAATATTCCTTAGCACGGGTGTCAGTGGCTAAATCTGGATTTGGAGCTGTGGGCTTTCCACTGTGGTTTGAGGTTGGATGTTCCCATTCCCCCCAGGCTGGAGCTGGGCACGGTCTGTGGGGAAGAGAGGAGGAGCAAGCCAAAAAAAGAGATTGGGCGTGGTCTCRGTGTGCTTGGAGTGTGCTGATGTGAAGTGAAGCAGATTTTGGGAATGCTGAAACTGTGGGGCCAAAAGGGTGGGCAAGCCACACAGCCAGCAAGGATCAGGCAGGGGTTGGGCTGAGTGGAGCACCACGATTTGGGAATCCAGATTTTTGGGTGCTGCTGAGAATCCCTGCCAGAACCCCCAAATTTGGCTTTGGTACTCAGCACTCGCTGCCATCTCCCTGATGGAAGCTGGAGCTGTTCTCTGCCTGGGAAAGGGCTCAGGCACAGTGGAAGGGTCAGCCAACCCACACTGAAGGTTTTAAATATTAAAGCAGGAAAGTGCTGTGAAGTCTGCTGCTGCTCTGGAAGCGGGGTGGGAGTAGGGCAGGAGGAAATGTTGTGCATGAACACGTCTCCAGGTCTGGCCCCTGCCTCAATGATTAACCAGCTGTGCAGCAGAATGCTGCCATGTGACAGCCAGATCGGTACCATTAAATTCCAATATTTGGATGGTATTGTGCCACTGAAGGCATAGAGGAGGCATGGGGAACAATTAGTGTTGGATCCTTTGGCCAAGRCAGCTTTCCCCACCACCGTGCACAGTTCTGTCTCTTTGATGTGACTCGGGCTCTTCATTTGAGAGGTCTCTCCTGCCCCTGGTGCTGGGAAATGTGGCTGTTCCCCTCCTCTGGACAGTGTGGGGTAACTGGGTATTTCCAAAGTGCTTTGAGATCTTGTGCAAAGAAGTGTTGCTGCAGGAACCGCAGGTGCTGCTGACAGATTTCATAYTGTCAGCCCTGAAATCCTGGTGCTTTCCCCAGGGGCTGGGGAAGGTCTTTACCCTGGAAAGGATTACCCCATCCTGAGGGATTAAGAATCCCTGGAAGGGTCACCCCATCCTGTGTGTGCTTGCCTAGGGTTGCCTCCAGACAAAGGCAGAAATGGAGCCTTCCTCTTCCTCCACACTATTCTGCCCAGGTGTTACATCAAGTGCTGCAGCTTCATGAGACCTGTTCCATAAAAATCATCATTTTATATTCATTTATTTCTAACTGGGGGGATGCACTGAGCAGTTGTAGGGACTGGAGTTCAGCACCTCCCTGTCCTCTGTGTGTGCCTTCCTCTGGAAATGATGAGGACTTCCCCCTACTCTCACGGCTGTAGATGGTCAGACTGTGTCTCTGCCACACGATGGACACTGATTGATGAGCTTTGGCTCTCAGCTCTGTCTCCCTTCACAAGCACTGCTGGAGGCGTGGGGTGAACTTTGGATCCAGCTGTTCCAGAGCATCCAGGAGCAGAGCCAGGAGCAGGGCCAGCCCTCACCCGTGAGCAGCTCTTGCTGCATCACAGGCCCCTCTGTAAAGCTGTAAAGAGCAGCCAGGGGTGTGCTGGAGCTGAGTTTTGCTGAGGCAGGCTGTGGTCAGGAGGCGTTTCAGGTTAGAGCTGCACAGGTGACAAATGTGGCGTTTGTGGGTGGGGACGAAACGCTGGGATGTGCAGGGTGGGGATCAGTGAAGGCTCCCTCTGCAGATGTCCCTCACCTGCCTGCTCTCTGCAGTGACTCAGCTCCAAGAGACTGGAACCAGAATTTCAGCACCCTCCCTGCTCCAGGGCTGGCCCTGCGCCACCCAGAGAGGCCCCGGTGGTRCTGGAGTGTCCCACGTCACGGGGAGCAGGAGCAGGGACTTGTACCTGCTGGATCGCACACCTCGGGTGCAAACGGACCAGGATCCCTCCCTGCTGGCTCCTGCAGCCTGCCTGCCATTTCCTGCACGGTTCCTATGGTTTCTGGACGCTGGAGCAAAAGGTACAAGCTCGGCTTCATTTACGAGCTCAGCTCAACAAATCCCGTCTTTCTAAACTTTTCCTTTCCCTTGCTCAAGTTGTGTCTCATTCTCCTCCTCCTCCTTTTCCATGTCCTTTGCTCTGAAGGGCTGGGCTCTGGCTGGGACACACTGGCTCTCCCTGCAGYGCAGACTGACTGCAATAATATCCCATGTTTTGGCGTGTCTGTCTGGAATGTGGGGGCGGTGGGAGGGGTTGTCCTGCAGCCTCCTCCCATCATCCAAACATTGGCTCTTTGGAGCTTGGGGGGCTCCTCAGGGGCTTTGGCAGGTGTTGTGGGGAGAATTGTTGGTGGAAAAGCTACAGGGAGGAGTGATTAGGTGCTGAAGCTGATCAATAATTTGGTACCTGTGCTCCAGAATAACCTTGTTAATGGGCACCATCGAGGCATGGAAGTGCCCCAAGTTCTTCAGCCCCAAATTCTTCCAGCTTCACAAGCATCCCCATGGTCCCTCCTCAGCTGTAGGTCCTGCAGCTCAGAACTTAGCCCCCAAACCAACAAATAAAATGGCTTTGAAATCCATGACCCCCATTCCGTCCCCAATCCATGACCCCAGTCCTGCGGTGAGGGGATGATAAATCCAGTCTGAAACTGGATTATCTCACCATGAGAGGGAAGGGGAAGAAACACTTGCTGCATACCCAGCACATGACAGGGATGGTGAATGCATTTTAAAGAGGTCACAAGGTGCTGGGTGGCAAATGAGGGGCAGCCAGGTCTGCACATGAACTCTGTGACCTCCTCAGAGTCATCCTTGCATGTCCTCTTGTGCCAAACCCCTGCTTCTGCAGGGGACTCCAGAGGGGAACAGAGCTTTCACAACCACCCTGTCCTGTGTGGGTGGCTGGAAGTCCCCTTTACTCTTCCCAGAAGGATGGAGTTTGCCTTGACATCCTCCCAAGATGCCCCAGATGAGGTGGGAGGTGCTGTGTGCACCCCACATCCTTCCCAGGTACCCCCAAAGTGCTCGGGAGTCTGTGGGGTCAGGGCAGGGGTAACTGAAAAACCCCACAGGAAAYGGGGAGGGATCACTGACATCCCTCCTGGGCATGCAATCGTTGGCCCCACAGCACCCAGAGGTTCCCAGGGGGATGCCCCACCTGGGCAGCCCCAAAGAGGGGCTCCAGGGATGTCCCTCTCATTTTAAAAGCATTTTCCTCTGCCCTGCTGCTCCCGGCTCTGTCCACCTTCCAGTGCCTGGCAGGCGCCGCTGGCTTTTGCAGAGTCATCGGCCCCGTGCTTAAAAGGAGAAGTGAGGGAGGGAGGGACATGTTGAAATCAGTTTTTTGACGATTTGCCCATTTCCATCCGAGAGATAAGGGTGAGGCCAGGCTGCGGCTGCGGGATCAAGACGGGAGGTAGGAGATGATAAACTGCTGTTAATGCTGGTGGAAGGTCCTCTCCTAGCAGGTTTTCCTGTAAGGGGAAGATGAYTCCCTGCAAAAAGGGTGATCCTTTGGAGATTTGCTTTCTCAGCAGTACCTGTAACCCCATTCACAAGTGAACTGTGGACTTTATTTATACTGGGGACAGGTATAACGGGTTTTCCTTTAGGATGATTTGTTTTTAAAGGGAATGTAAGGCTTCACTCCATGCTGTGTATATATATGGTGGTTGTTTTGAGAGGCAGACTGACAGTGTGGGAAGGGGGGGCTGTTTTGGGGAGTGCTGACCCCCTCCCTTTGCAAAGTACTGATGTATCTGGGATATTTTGCTAATTATCTGTCAGTGTGGGGAACGGAGTTTATCAGGATTGTCTCTACTAACCAGAAACCTTTGCTCATTCTGGAGCTGCTTTTGGGGTTTCTCTTATTGCTTCCTGGACAAGGAGTAACTGGAGGTGCAAATCYTGGAGCTCAGTGATTTTTGTGACCAGTATTTCGTAGAACAGGTGGCTGCTGGTACAACTTGGGGGGGGGGGGGAAGGATATTTGCTGCTCTTGAGACCTGATCACCAAACAGCTTGGCACACACAGAGACTCAAATCCATGTGATCCCTGCACAGAGTCCTTCCTAAAAACCGTGCTGGCCTCTGATGGGAGCTGTGTGCTGCCCACCCTGTGCCTGGCCATTTCCAGTGGCCAGCTGRGGAACTGGTGGGGGATGTGATGTTTAACAGACCATCCCACAGTGCAGCTGAACTTTTCCTTTCTAAACCCTGCACAACCCCAGCCCAGCCACCAGCTCCTGGCTGGAGGGAGACTGCCTGATAACTGAGCAATATTTAGGACCAGATTTTAATTCTTCAGCGTTGGAAGGGGGAAAGAAGTGGATTTGAGGGATGTCTAAACCCTTTCAGCTGTTCTCTCTGTGCTGCTTGAGGCAGAAGACATCTCTGCCCGCTGTTATTTTTTGTTGGTGAGAAGCAGTGGAAGGTGTGAGCAGCTCAAAGATGCTGCGTCCATGTCCTGCCTTTACCCCTGGGCTTGCTCTTTGCTGGGCCAGATTTTGCTTTTGCAATCAAAGCTAAAAGCAGAGATGGCAGCAATCATTTCCAAAGGCCAGGGTGCACTTTCCTCTCCTTCCCCCTGACAACATTTTGCAGCGGAGCACAGCGCTGATGTCCCAGATCGATAAACTGCCTTTGTGTGTCATGGGGGAGGAATCGGCTCCTCCACCCCATCCCCTCCATCACTGAGGGAGGAGATGATTTCAAACTGTTTGCCCAAGGTGAGCCCATAGATGAAGGCTGGACAAAGCCAAGGCTGGGTCAGCACCTCAGAGCATCTGTGACAGCAAAGGGACCAGAATYKYCCC